AAAAAAGCAGGAGTAGCTATCCTCTTTGCAGATCAAGTAGATTTCAAACCAACACTGATTAAGAGAGATGAAGAAGGACATAGATGATAAAGAGAACCAAAATATTTGACCTTCTAATACAGATTACATAGTTAATACTCTGTCAGATCATTGATCATTAAAGGAAAGTGATAAGATGAACCCTATTTAAGAGTAATATAGTTTATCTTTATTAATCAAATTTTATTTGACAGTAAGATGTCATGTAGGAAAATAAATGAACTGGTTTAAAGTGAAAATAATTATTTACATAACTGAATGAAATTAAATAACTAATTCAGGCAAAAAACCATTCATGGATGCTCAAATATCATGTGAAACTTGGTCATGAAATCTACATTCTCCTACTACCACCAGGTCAGTAGTAACTGAAATGGTGGAAAAGATGTATTTACAAAGAAGAGATCTGGCTACAGCCAGCTCTACCAGATGATGAAACCATCATCGCCAGCCTGTCAACACATGGTACCTAGTGGGTCCAATTTGAAGGCCACAGAATGCTAATGAAATTCGCTCATGGACAGCGTTTCACTTGTCATCCAAAATCAGATGTAACTTTTAATTTACACAAACAAAATAGAAGAGAAAGGATCTATCATTAGAAAGCAGCAACCTGATAAATCCAGAATGCTTGACAAAGCCTTCCTGGATAACAGGGAGCAGGAATAATGCTGACTATAAGTTAGAAGAGCTTGAGAAATGCCAAGAAGTTTGGGCTTGAACCACTGTTCTGTGTGGGCAAGAGGACATGCACAAGACACTTGAGGAAAACACTGAGAAATCTGAATGTGACCTGGCTATTAAATGATAGGAGAGAATAACTGATAACTTCTTTGATTTTAATAATGGAACTATCTATGTGACAGAATATTTGTAATTGGGAGATGTTTTCTTAAGTTTATAGGGTAATTAGTAATATGTAGCTTACTTTGGAGATGATTAGTGCAATGTTATATGTATATTTGTACCTATTACCCCCATTCATTTATCTGTATTTGGCTACACAGCAAAACATCAACAACAATGGACATAGCTGGGAAAAATATGAATGGTAAATATCACTCCAAATATTCTACAGATTTTAAAGTGGACATTATAAAGAAGAAGAAAACTAATGTTAAAATCACACTAATTTTTCAACAATTACATTTGAAAATATAATGGTGTGGCATTTTATACCAAATTCATGAATTTTAAGCTACCCTTTTTCAGTGGAGGACATATCATCCATGACTTAAAAAATAACTCAGAACCCAGTGAGAAGCGCAGAATAGATGTGCATAATGTTGACTTAATGGCAGAAAACAGGGAAGAATCACGAACTAAGATGTGACCAGAAACTCTGACAGCTCTGTATTACTATTAGTATTGAGTGTTAATTTAATCCACCACTAACATCACCCTAAACAGATAACTTTCTCCCTCTAACCTGGGTGACTTTCACAGTTTCCAATTCATTTTTTTGGGTATGCCTCTGGTCAAGACATCTGAAAGCAGAGGTGCTAAGGCAAAAGGATCAGTCATTGAAAACCCCATGAACCCTACCACTGGTCTTCTCTTACACCACTCTCCTTGGCAAGTGCCCATTTCATGTCTCTATGAACATCTCACTTCACTGTTCCCTTCACAGCATCTTCACTCATCCAATCTCTGGTCATCGTTCATGACTAGGGCACCTTCCCACTGAGGTCTAATGTATGACTGCATCCCACCAAGATTACCTTTTAATCTTCAGATTCTTACATACTGCTCAGCATCATGGCCTCCCAAATATTTTTTTCATCAAGACATAACTAACTGAGACACAGTTAGCATCGTGTGCTCCAGAAACTTTAGATGAATAGGGAAGGAGGAGATATGGACACCTACAGGAAGACAGGAATGAGACTAGAAGGAGCAGAGACTGAGGGCACTCACCTGGTTGCAGACAGGCTTGTACTTGGGCCCTGGCTTGTTCAGGATCATCTCCAGCTGCCTGCGGTTAAAGTTGGACACCCCGATGGACTTGGCCAATCCTGCATCCTTACACTTCTCCATGGCCTCAGAGGAAGTGATTATGAAGAATATTCACTTAATAATTTGTGCAGGGAGCATGGATCAATATCACTGCAAGTAAGGACTGTCAGAAGGAACAAAATGATGAAATAAAAAATAAAGCTCGGGAATTGATTGCAAAGGAGAGAAAATGGTAAATAAAATAGGGGGAAAATGACAGCAAGAAAAAGGATTTCATTGTTCTCCATGGAGATTAGAGAGACTATATATATGAGTGAAAAATGTGACCATTATCATTTTCTCTTCCAGTAAAACATTCCTCTCCACCACACCTACAAAGCAGCCATTGTAAAGATCAACATTTCTTGATCTAAGGGTGCATACCTCATTCTCTCTTTCCATTGCCTCTGTCCTCTCTCTTCCTAATGCTCACCTCCATGTGTCACAGTGGTCCACTGTGCCCTACATAATTTTCCGTGCTCATCTACTGGATGCAGGTCCTCTTCTGGCTGGAACAGAAGCAGTAAGGAAAGCCATGTCATCAAACTGGTGTCTCTAGTCATAGAAACTCTCCTTAGTGAATACAGAACTGGGACACAAAACCTTCATGGAATAAGTGAAGCAATGTTTCACATACTTATCTTTGCAAAATATTTTGCCTGAGGGTTTGTGAGGAAGGTGTCAGTGATAGATTTTTATGTTTTCTTACATTTTTATTGTGTTAATTCATAATATTTTACTAGGTCCTAAGTGGGTGTCCAAGTTGAATTATTGTTTCTTTTCATATCCCTGTACCTTCTGCCCTCCAAAATGGCTCTTTGATTGGGAAAGTCTGTCCTTACATGGTCACAATTGCCTATTGCCACCAGTAATGAATGGCAGTCTTGGCCCAGACCAAAGAATCAATGTTTCAGTCTTCATCTCCTTGATCATGTGAATGGTAGAAGGTCAGCATGTGAGTCAAAGTTGGTCTATCGAGATTATTTTTAAACATTTTTGTTAAAAATAAAGTATAAATTATGTACAAAAGTAATATAGAAATAAAAAAGTTAATGTGACTCTGGAATGTGAATAGGGCTTTGAAATAATTTGATGCAAAATCGAATGAGATAATTTCTGTCAGCAAGAAACCACCCCAACGTGGATTTTAACTCCTTAGGGTTAGGGGGTTTAGGTTAGCCCCTTCATGACAAGAAAGAGAGGTAACCACGAACCTCACCACTCAAAGGAGTTGCACCCATAATTCTCTCGGGATGGGTTCTTTTCAGCATGGGGTGTATGCTAACTAGGGACACTTTTTGGTAAAGTCATAGGTTTATGTATCCTGATGAGCAAATCTTTTTCTGACTTCAGGCAATGTCTCTTCAAATGGAATAAACTGTCAATTTAAGTTCTAGCTTCCTGCATTGGATTGTGGTCTTTTTTTTGTTTTATTTGCTTTTGTTTTTTCTCGTCCCCAGACAGCATGTCAAGGGCACAAAGGGCACTGTGGGAAAGAAGTGCACTACCTGACTTTCCTTTCTCCTTCACATGAAAAATACAAAGATGGATACAGTTCCTGTTATAAAAGCAGATTACGATTTGACATGTATTTGTTAACTATTAGTATTTTAAAATGCTGAAACGCACACATTTATAGAATATTTTACATGTGTTAGGTACTGTGAGAAGCACTTTACATATATTAACTCATTTCATCTTGTTTCTACTCTATAAAGTATGTGATGTTATTATTTAAAGCTAAGAAAACAAATCTAAGAGATTAAAAAAACATACCCAATGTAACCTTGCTAAAACTGATAAAAAGGAGCTTAAAACCACTCTGCATGGCCTCCTAGCTCAGCACTCTCCACTTGTACACCTCCCCTCACTTAGGGAGTTACCCTACCCTACCGTTAACTGGGGTTGCACAAGTGTATCCAGGACGTCAGTTGATAGGAGGAAAACAAATTAAAGCAAACAGGAAGAGCCTACAGATCAAATTAAAGAAAAGAATCAAGGTACTTTTCAAGATTAATTTTGATGCTGGAAGATGCAAAGAAGCTATCAAGTATTAATGACCTTGGGCTTCAAGTTGCCACAAGGTCATATTTGCCAGCAATGCAAAAGGATGGAAAAGTAAAACAACAGTAATAAAGATGTAAGGGACTAAAAGCAGACATCTCTGAAGACTACTTCAAATCTTTATTCAGCGTAATAGGGGAGGAATTTGTATCCCTATATTTACTTAAATAAAGGAAAATATTTGTAAGTTTTACTATATTGTAGCACAAAACAAGACATTTTAGCAAAATCATCTTTATATCACGGGGTAATCTTATATTCTCTTCTACTGTAGAAAGTAAAAGTTGACATTCAGATTATTAAGAAATGTTAGAAAGTCACACAGGAAATAAAGGCAGCTATTATCTGATCAGAGTTCCTTCTAAATCACACTGCCTTAAACTGAGACTCAGAAAAGTAAAGAGATCTTACATTAAATTTGTTAATTTAAGTATAGCAATGATGAGGGATCCATCACCTTTCCCTTATTTCAATATGGTATTGGATCTTTTATGTAAATATGTGTGACTAAAATATGGGCAATATGCATAACTCATCAACAACTTCATCTCCATTCACGTAAAAATCAGTTCATGACATCACATTTCATTAGTTTGTACATGTGCACAAATCAGACACAGTACCTTTGCAGTGTAGAAGATGTCTTCTCTCTTCATGGGGGCATCTGCAATCTTCCTCTGAATGTCCACTCCCACCCCCTCTTTGTTTCGGTGCAAATAAGCAGAATCTTTGCGGTGAAACCCAGCATCTATGGCTAATCCGGTGGCCTCTGCAGTCTTACTCTTCTAAAGGAGTAACCAAAATTAGTATTTAGACATTCTCATTATGGAGTTAGTTCCAGAAAAGCACTGCCCTTCACAAACACAATGTCTTCTCATATTTAGGTTACTTCTGTTCATATTTGGGTTACTTCTGAGTTTGGCATTATGAGCACATCCCAGCTTGTCAGGACCTCCCATACTTAATGTAAAAGTGGGGTGTCCCAGGGACTGCTTCAGTTCCAGGCAATAATTGATTTTTCACTGGCATAAGAAGTTGGGGAAAACCGGTTTCAGTGATGTGCTTGAAGGACTAATGGGACTCAGCACATACTTATCGAAATGGTTATTGTTTATACAGCACAGTAATAAAGTACAGTTAAACCAGAAAAATATGCAGGGGATGAAGTATAGAAACAAACAGATCCAAACTTATTGGAATTTTTTCCCACTGACATAATCGATAAAACATTGAGTTCTGCAGTATTGCATTTACAGAGCTCATGGGTAAGTTTTTACAAGGAAAGCTGTTGAGAGATTCAGTTTCTCATCCTTACCTGCAGAGTGGTTACACCAACCTCTCTGGTGGCACACGCCAAAATTCCAGTCTCCAGGGAGCATAGTACATGTAAGCCTCAATGCCTTCACAGCAGTGCAGGGATAGCATTTCCTTATCTGTTATGAAAAAGCGGGAAGCAGAGTTCCCACATACATGTCAATGAAGCTCCCGTTTGAAAACAGTTACTTCAAAAGTTAACGGAACAAAGTTTAGTCTTTTTTGCAATGTCACTCTCCCTGCATGAGAGCAATACTTCTACAAGGAACAATACATACACAAACAACACAGATTTATACACAAGAAATTATTCATTGCCTGTAAAGAACTACTCATGTAGGTGTCAATCCTGAAAACCAAGATTACTTTTTAGACAAGAAATAATTAAAATGAAATAAGACATTTTTTTGGCTTTTTAAAATCAAGTTTGGATAAAGATTTGAAAGCGTGTTTCTTTTCTCAATGAAATTACAATAAACAAGATACCAGACCCTAAGACACTCTCCTGATAACCAGCCCTGCCATTCTTAGGTGTGAGGCAACTCAGAAATTTACCAAAGCAGAAGCTTTAGTGGTCCCCTTGTGCTTTCCTTCTTCCCTTCATGCTACTTTGCTCTGCAGAGTAGCTCAGCCCTGTCACGTGCCTTCACGACTGATCTCTGGCTACTTCCTAAAGCCATACAGAAGGGAAAGAGGGAATGTAAGGCTCAGGCATGCAGACCTTCATCACACAGTTCAGTGGGCTGAGGACAGCATTGAAACACAAATCCTTTCCCGCCCAGTGAGCTGTCCATCTTTCTCGACTCATTTCAGAAGACCATCGGCAGCATTGCACATTAAACCCAATCTCCACAAAGAAGGATCAGTACTAGAATAGCTTATTAGGTCACCGTTTGGCCCTAACACTGTGTTATACTTTTCATTCCAGAGGGTTCCCAGAGATGCCAGCTGTGCTTTGAAAGTTCTAGTGAGTCACCGTGAGTTACTATGAGATAGTCAAGGCTGCTCCACAGAACAGCAGTACTGCTGCTTTTTTGTATTTCATCTCCATCTCCAGTAACTTTTATGACAAAGATTTCTAAGGATATTCCCTGATTGAAAGATGGAAAGATTTTATGAATTATAGAAATAAACAGAGAAAACTCTCCCATTGCAATCGACTTCTATGCAAACATTCTTTTCTTTTAGGTATATTTTTACTTTATCAAAAGGTATGACCAATGGCAAAAAAAAGCATATACAAATGTGGAACTTTAGGCCTAAATATGCTTTCTTTTAGAGGTACTGTCTATTTTATTTTTATTTATATGTATTAATTGCCCATATTATTGGGGTTTGGTGTGATATTTCAACATCAGTATACAGTACCTACCAATCAAACTAGATTAATTAGCATTTTTCTTACCTCTTGTTCTTGTGTGTTTGGAGTTTTTGACCTCCCATCAGCCAAATCTTCATAAAATATACAGTAGGTCTTTGTGAAGTATAACCATCCTTCTATGCTGTGGAACATTAGAACTTATTCTTTCTCTGTGGGATTTGGTAACAGTTTCCAACCTCCCTGTATCCACCTTCTTTCCTACTCTTCCCAACCTCTAGTGACCACTATTTTACAGAAAGAAAGATTTTTAGGTTCCATATATGAGAATATATAGCATTTGTTTTCCTGTGTCTGGCTTATTTCACTTAACATAATCTTCTCTGGTTCCTTCTATTTTGTTATAAATGACAAAATTTCATTCTTCTTTACAGCTGAGTAATATCCCATAGTGTATGCATACCACATTTGCCTTATCCATTTATTCTTTGATGGACATCTAAATGAAATAATATCTTAGCCAGTGTTAATACTGCTGTGATAAAAAAGCAACAAGCAGGTATCTCTCTGGGGTGTTGATTTCATTTCCTCTGGAGATATACATATACATATATCTAGGAGTGGTATAACTGAATCATATGGTAGTTCAATTTTTACTTTCTGAAGACCTTCCCTACTGTCTTCCCTAATGGCAATAGCAATTTTGATTTCCTACCAGCAGTTATAAGAGTTCTTTTTTCTCCCTATCTTTATAATCATTTGTTTATTGTTATTTTGATAATAGCCATTCTGATTGGGTGAAATGATATATTCTCAATGTTTTCATTCTCATGCCATGTACTAAGCTTTGGTAACCAAAGCAGTATTGTATTGGCATAAAATATACATAGACCAATGGAACAGAATAGATGTACTAGAAATGATCTTATGAATATAAAGTGAAATGATCCTTTTTCAAACTTTATTTTTATCAGTACATATTTGTCATACATAGAATTGTTTCTCTTGTATGAAAAACCAAAAGCATAAATAAGGACCAAAATGGATGATAGATATTGGGAAGTAAGAAGAAAATGTTCAAACAGGAAATGGAACAAGAGAGGTGAGAAAAGAAGGGACGGGAATGGAGAATGAAACAATTTTTACAAAGACCTTAATGCAAGAGCAAAAATTACGAAACCATTATAACAAAAAATACAGGAAACCTTGCAAGACGTGGTTACTAATAATGATTTCAGGGACATCTTCTCAAAGTAGAGGAAACAAAAGCCAAAATAGATAAATGAGAACAAAGCCAGAAACTTCTGCACAGCCAAGATAACAATCAATCAAAAGAATGAAAAAGCAACATACAGCTAGGAGAACATATTTGCCAACTATTCACCTGACAAAGGATTAACATCTGGAATATATCAGGAACTCAAAAGCAAAGCAAAAGTGAAAGATAATCCTATTAAAAAGTAGATAAAGGATCTGAACCTACAGTTCCCAAAAGAAAAAATAGAAACGGCCAATGAATACATGAAAAAATGCTCAGTGTCATTATCATCAGACAATGATCCTGCTAAGCTGCATCTTTTCCACCATGCTGGGAATCAAATTGAAATGGAGGACAAAACCAGCATCCAGAGCAGCAGAAGGTGAGCACGTACCAGACCCCACTGGAGCATGAAGACAATTTCTCCCTTGCACAAGGAATACTTCCACCGTGTGAAACACAAGGAAGGGAGCACCCAGAGTCACGAGAAGACAGGGCGACTTGATGAGGCAGGACAGCTTCCACTCACACTAGGTTGGTTTCCCTTTGGACCCTCATCCTCAACAGCATTACTGTTACCTCTTCAGATGAATAGGTGCCAAAACCCAGTGCAGGGGAGAAGCGGTCATCACTGAGTGCCACACACTGGCGTCTCTCTCTCCTCCAGCCCAGCCTGTGCTCTTGCTGTTCTGCCTCCACAGAGCAGTGTGGAAGGGGAAGACACAACCCCACTTCCTGACTAACCAGGAAGCAATGCAGAGTGGGAGGAGAGAGATAAAGCAGCACTGCACAGGAGGAGGACACTGGGACAAGTGTACTTGTTTCAGAAGAAGGACAAAGTGTAAGTAAATTAGTGTACAGCAATAAAGAAGTATTTCAGCAGAAGTTTTATTATAATCTCTCACATATTACTGAGTTATGAGATCGAATGAACAATTATTGACCATTTGCTAGACTTGAAACTCTCACTTAACTCTTATTTTGATATGTTTTGTTATGATGAAGCCCCGGCTTGGTCATACATTATTTGAAACAATGAACATACAAACACATACAAACACATGCAACACATGCAAACACATGCAACAAATTCAAGAAATGTCTGTTCAGCATTTCTTAAATTTTCACTTTCAAAAAAAAAAGAATGAAAGGTTCTAAAATTGAGAAAATTTCGCCACTGTAACCTTTCACTCACAAAATATTTCCATGTCATCATCTTTGCACCCTAATAAGAATATCCAGCCAGGGTGCAACATGGTGCTGAGAAGCTTGCAGTTAAAAGCCCGCACAGGAAGCGGCCTACAGGAAGGTGACTTGTTACTAGCTCCTGGAAATGACTGTAATATGGAACCAGAAACTTAGCATTTATTATGCTTTTACCTGTTTGATAATGTTGTCACAAAGGGGAACAGCTCGATGCTACAGCCAAGTGCCACAGCTCTGTGTCAGAGCTGAATATGCTGGCTCAGTGTTACAGCTGTGAGTCGCAGCTATTGCAATTTGAAGACTCGAGACGCGGATGGTCACTCAAAGAGGTAGAGACAAACCTTTATTACACCAGTGGGCTTAGGGGAGGTCACACTCTGAAGTCTGAGTGGGCGACTAGAGTGGGAGCCTCCTTACATGCCTTGCAGAGCATTCCTGAAAGGCTAGTGGGTGAACATGCTCACAGAAGCAGAGGGCTGGAGTTAACAGGACATTCCTAAAAGGGGTGGAGCCAGTAGTACATTCGGGAGAAGGCTGGAGCTAACAGAGCATTCCTGAGAGGTCTCACAGTGCAGGCAGTTACAAAACATTTTCATACATTGGGCAGGGGAGCTGCTGGGCAGCACAAGCTGTTACACTTCTGGAACAAAAGATCTTGTGGAAAGGACATGGGGGCAAGGTAAGGGCCTATCTCATTGTGTAGTATTGCTCTATCAATAGCTTTTAGGAAACTATCAATGAATAAGATACCACAAGGCTGACAAATATTTAAAATAATTTATGAGTTATTCACTATTATCCAACAAAGGAAAAAACTGCAAAAATCTTAATTACTATAAATTCTTTTTTGTACCAGGGATCAAACTCGAGACCTTGAGCTTGCAAGGCAGGTGGTGCAATCACTGAGCTAGATCCCTGGCAAAAGTTTTGAATAGTAAGGAAAATGTTGATGCTTTGACGAGAAGGAATATTTGAAGCAATTAAAGGTGCAACATATGATGAATTATTACGTATAGGGCTAATAATTTTAGGATATTAATTCTATAATATAATGCTGAAAACCTATAAAAATATAGTTCGATCAATAATGTCATATGGTCATGTGATATGCATGATAAAAAGGGGAAGTCTGAAAATAATAAAGGTATTATTTTTGAAAGATGAGAGTTTGAGTGATTACTAAATTTTCTATAAACTTTTAAGGCTCCTAGAATTAATGTTAGTCCTTTTAGTAATCTGCAAGGTGTGCTTATAAAAGGGCAAAAACTCTGCCCCTGAAAATTAGCATAGACTGTAATGTCCTAGACGATAAACAACATTCTAAGTCCGGCATCTCAAGTCCAGCATGGTGGAATATACCTATAATCCCAGGACTTGCAAGGTGGAGGCAGGATGATCATGGTGAGTTCAAACCAAGCCAGGGCTACGTAGTGAGGTCAAAGCCAGCCTGAACTATACTGCAAGACTCAGTCTCAAAAACTAACCAATTAACCAACTAACCAACCAAGTAAATCACTAAATCACACTAAATAAATGCGTACATACATACTGTGTCTCAGGCTGTTTTGTTCGATGCCACAGACCTCACTTGGCATCCATTAGACCTCTTTGTTCCTTTTTCATTCATTATTAAACTTCTTCCAATCCTCTCGTATGGAATAGAAATTTGGATTATGGTATCTAACAACTTTATCTGAGTTTCATTCCCTGAACATTTTCATTATCTTGGATCAGTCTAGAGATTAGAATATTTTGTTTGTTTGAATTTAAGCCTTGCACTAGTGCTGACTTCAAGGTGGTCTTCCTACACATAGTGCCACATATGCAAGTCTCCATCTCAATGGTCTGACCACAGGATTAGAACTTCTTGCTTCACAAACTCCACACCTCACAATCCAGTGCACTATCAGTGAGCTTCAGAGGTCATTCCTTTGTATCTCATACATCCTTGAGGTTTAATGAGAACCTAAACGTGAATTTGAATCAAAGAGTAAATGAAAGCATCAGATTACAACAGGAATAAAGTGTTATGTGGGTGAGTAAACATCTTTATTATAGAAGAATTTTATACTGATACATAAAAACATTCTTTTTCAAGAGACAAAGTCTGAAAAGTTCTGTGTCTGAACTACTGATACTCATCCAGCAAGTGCATCATTGAGATAAACTTTACTATGGCCAAAAATGAACATCTCTGCTATCAGCTCTGAGATCTAATTCCAGACATCTGCTTAACAGGTATAAGACAAAATATAAATTTAAATATATTTTTCAAATATATGAATATTTTCATCATACTTTTTCTTATTACATAATTAGAAATCCAAATATTCAACAGTAGGAAAATATTATATTTATAATCTCTTATCGTCTTAACTGAGAACTATATTACAGTACAATGCGAATTAATAGCAAAAGACAAAGCTGCATTTACTATTGTATAAAATGCCTTACAGCACATAATATTGAAAAATGCTACTATAAGAGTAAGGATACTGTGAGTTACAAAAAGCATAAAATTAAACTTAATCTTCCCCAAATTTGAAGAAACTCATTCAGATAGTTAATTGGGAGTAATTAAGCCTTCATTTTCAAATATTTCTGTTAAGAATATATACCAAATCAAATTTCTCCATAAGGTCAACATTGAACCTAACCCCTGAATTTGATTCAATTCTCCTCCAACTTGGTTTGCAACCAGAATTGTGGAATGCATCAAGTTCATGAACCTAGGTATCGCTGCTGAATCTTAGAAGTGTCCTGTAAGTTCATCAACACATGAATGGGTAAAAAAATGTGTTATTTATATATAATGAAGTACTACACTTCCATAAAGAAGGATAAACTTGAGTCCTTTATAGGAAAATGGATGCACCTTGAGACCATAATGTTAACTGAAATAATCAGACACGCAAGCTTACCTATCTGATGGTTTCTCTTATATGAGAAATCCAAAATATGAATAAAGAGCAAAGTAAAAGATTGATAACAGGAAAGATGGAGATGGCTCTTTTGCAAATGGGAGGGAAACTGAGAGATGAAGGAAGGAAAAAGGGAGGGAGGGAAAGGGGGTGAAAATAATTAAGATCACACCCTGTTCTTGGATAGGCAGAAAACTGTCATCAAAATGATTTTATTACTGAAAATGATATATAGTTTTAATGAAATTTCAATCAAAATACCATCAGCATTTTTCAAGAACTAGAAAAACATCTAAAACTCATACAAAACCTGAAGAGATATAGAAGAAACAAAGCAATCCTGACCAACAAGAGCAAAGCGTGAAGAATCAAATCCCCGATTTCAAATTCGACTACAAAGCTACACTGATAAAAAAAAGTGTGGCACTGGCATAGAAACAGACACATTGGCCAATAGAACACCATAGCATGGAATAGAAGATGCACAGAAGCAGATACCTTGGCCAATAGCACATCACAGAATAGAATAGAAGATGTAGAAACAACCCCCAGAACTTTCAGCCATTTGATTTTTGACAAGAGACAAGTAACGTACACTACTGAAGCAAAGGCATGTTTAACACATGGTGCTGGGAAAACTGGTTATCCACATGCAGAAGAATGAATCTAGATCCCTAGCTCTCACTCTGTATTAAAATCAAATCAAAAGGTTTCAAAGATCTAGATATAAAAACAGCCTTATCTGCTAAAAGAAAAAAATGGTAAATCTCTTGAAGACATAGTAATATTCAAGAATTTCTTGAACAGAACTCCAACTGCACAAGAATTCATACCAAGAGTGGACAAATAGGATTATACCAAATTCGAAAGCTACTTCATTACAAAGGAAACAACCTACAAAATGAAGCAACAACCTAGTGAACAGGAAAAATATTGCCAGCTACTCCTCAGACAAAGGACTAATATGTAGAATGTATCAAAAAATCAAAAAAATTATACCCCCGAATAAAAGAGCAATCAGAAAATGGGTAAGTGAAATGAATAGACCATTCTCAGAAGAAATACTAAAGGCAATAAATACATCAAAAATATTCAACAGTTTTTGTCATTAGAGAAATGCAAATCAAGACAACATTAATATTCTACTTCACTCCAGTAAAAAAAAAGTTGTTATAAAAAACTCATAAAACATCAGGTGCTGGTGAGATTGTGCAATACAAAGCAAACCTCTGCATAGTTGTTGGGAATATGAAGTAGTACAACCACTATGGGAATTGGAGGTTCCTCAGTATTCTTCTGGGATATCTTTTCCTCCAAATAAAAATCATAATTTATAGCAATACAAGCATCCCCATGTATATAGCAGCACAACTCACAATACTTAAATTTTGAAAGTGATTTGTATGCTCACCAAGAAATGAATAAAAAAAGAAAATATGGTTTACAGACACACTGGAGTATTAGTTGATCAGAAAGAATGATAAATTTGAGTTGTTTGTAGGAAAATGTATCTTGAGAGCATACTGTTAGGTAAAATAAGTCAAACACAGCAAGTTAAACATTGCATGTTTTCTCCAATTGTGGGACCTAAAACTTAAATAATTCAGAAAGCAATATAAAAGAGAGATTGCAAGAAACGGGGAGGTAGACTCTGAACATGGGAAGGGCTTCTGGAGAAGAAGGAAGAGTCAAGGGTAGAGGTTAGAGGGAGAATAAAAGTGAGTAAGATGCAGTATGTATATGTAGCAGTTCCTCTTGATGAATGCAATTATTTTCTATTACAAACTTGGAGAAGCAGATATTTTGACAAATTCTAGTATTTACAACAATATCAGTTGGTAGTCACAGGATTATTTTAAGGCACACGTGCACACTGGCACAAAACAAAATCAGAATTCAAGGAAGGAGAGAAATGTTAGTAGATTACAAAAATGTAATCAAGGCAAAGCCAGAGCATACTATAATCAAATTTTCACATCAATAGTAGGAATATAGAAGGTTTAAATCATTGATAGGATAAACAAAATCCTGAAAAGTCTGGCCATAGCTGAGTGGTAGAGTATGTGCTTAGAATGGGAGAGTCCCTGAGTCTAATGGCCAGCACTGAAAAAACTTAACCAAACAAACAAAATATCTGACGAAACATAGCAATGTAGCAATGTCTTAGTCAGGCAAATAAGGATATTTGAGATAACAATTAGTGTTGTACATTGGCCAGAGACGTAATTGTTCTCAAAAATATGACTTGCAAATATTTCCTACCATTTTCTGGGTTGTGGTCCCATTCTCTCCATACATTACTTTGTTGTAACAAAAAAGGCTTTAAATTCGAAGATTTAATTTTTCTTTAGTTCATTGCATTCTTGGTATCATGTGCAAGGAATCATGGCCAAATTCAATGCCATGACATTTTTCCCTTGTGAAATTTTTAAAGTAAGTTTATATAAATTCATCTTGTAGACAGTGTGAGTTAATCTTTGCAGTGCATGTATGTACAGTTCCGACTTGTCTTTCCATGTGGATATCCAGTCTTCCTATCATTGTTTGTTGCAAATACTAGTCTTGGCAATCTTGAAAAATATATTTTGACCAGGTATGTAAAGATTTATTCCTGGGGCAACAGTGGAATTCCAGTGACCTCTAGTTCTACGTCAGCACTAGGGGCTTGGGAAGCCTTGGGTGTTGTGTTTGTTATACTCATGTTTGAGCTTTGCAAATGGCACATAGCCATTACTATTCATAATGTACAATTCTTGATGAAAAGTTACAGAAAGCTATTCTAGTTAATTTGCACACAAAATAACTTATTCAAGTAAACAAATAGTCCAATTTATGCTAAATTTTAAAACTTTAAAAAGTCTCAGAAATGTCTCCTCTTCCCCAGGCCTAATCTCTGCATTCCGACAAGTTTGCTTCTTTTTGTCTCATCTTTCTCAGTGATAGACAATATGGTGTGGAGAAGTTCTAGGTTTATGATCAGTAAGACTTGAGAGCTTCTCTGGCTTTCCAAAGTCCAAATTAATCTTCAAAAAAAAATTTACTGACATTATTTGGTTCATATATTTGCACTTGGACCTGTATTTAACAAGGATGACAAGGAACTCTGATTATTTTGCCGGGTCATGAACACAATCTCTTATCATTGGGTAACAAGGATATGTAATTAATGCCTTTCCCAATAAGAGATAGGTATTTCCCCAAAGAAAAGAACAGGGACTGACAGAAGTAGCCTAAGTCACATGAAACCCTGTTAGTACGTGGGAAAATGATATTTACAAATGGACATAGTAGATATAAGTAATTAGAGAAATCCTATCTCTAAAATGCAATTCTTACAACTCCATATGCAAAATATTTTGCAAATATCCATATCTGAAAGTTGTACCACCTGGCTCAGGAAGACTTGATATCCTCTAGCCCTAGGAGTCCACAGAATCTTGACTAATTATGGAGACATGAATGTGATGACATCACTAAAATGACTATATAGATTTCAGCCCATGTTAGAAGATTTTACTAAAAGGTGAATGTATAAAATCATTATACAGCTGTATCATTCAGTGCTTACTAGAGAATCAGATTTAATGCAAGATATAGAAATATGTAAGAATTTTCCAGATTGCCTTAAAATGGCTGCCCACAGAGTCAGGGGTAGAAGAGTGCCCAAGGTCTGTCTGCATGCTGGGGATCCAAAGGATCCAGCTGAAGACTTGGAGCTCACTGCAGTGTCCCATGGGAGCCTGCGTCAGGAGGCCAAGGGGCCTGGGATGGAAGGCTGAAGGATCTGCTCGAGAAGCCAGGAGACAATATCCAAGGTGAAGGCAAGGTAAAGCGCCTCCAAAGAAACAGGAGCAAGCCCTCCTTCTTTGTTTTCTTCTATAACGTTCTGATGACAATTCTCCCTAGGGTGGGTCTTCCACAGCCAGAACTAGGCTGAGCCAATCTAGGTGGGTGCTCCTTATGCAAGTTGACACAATCAATTCACTATCACAACATCCACATGAACTTCTGTGCCATGTGGGAGAGGAGTGATTGGAGAAGACAATGAAAGAGCAAGGTAGGAGGAGAGTCAGGTCCCACTTCCATCAGAAAGAATGAATGTGCATTATTGGGCTAGAAACTCAGAAACTGCTTGAGGAGTGCTTTGCACCAATGATAAGAGGAAATGCATTAATGAGATGTAATAGATATATATGGAGGAGAAGATTAGGGACAAGACAGACAGGTATCTCTTCCCCTCCATACGCAAGAATCTCCCCAGTTCCCTAAGGAAGAACCAGAAATTCTCTTTCTTTGAGTCACTGTCCTCTTCCCCAATTTTCTTGACCAGTTTTATTGTTCTCGATAATTACAGTATGATAGTGTCACTGCTGTTACCTGACAGTATTACTTCTAAACATCTTGCATGATGCGCTCTGTCCTACTTTGCATTTATATTGATGTGAAGCGAACTGCACAAGTTATCCTCTACAAACCGTTTCCTCCCCAGAACACAAAGAAGGTCATGGAGACAGGACTCATAGGGGAGAGGATCCTTAACAGAGACAGGGCTCACAAACAAGCCCATCTGCAAGCAAGTGAACACCCTCAACTTCCTCTCCATCTTATTTTCTTCATCACTTCTCTACAAAGTGTAAGCCAAAAGAAAGCTCTCCCCTTTTTGTTGGAGGTGTCAGGTATTGTATCCCAGTGACCAGAAAATAACTGATACAGTGTTGTGAGCTGCAATCACTTGGTTCAGCTAATCACAGCCAGACCTCTTCTTTGTCAACAGGTATTTTGGTCATTGCAAATATTAATGACCTATTGTGAGACAAGTATCAACAAAAGAAGTCATATTCCTTGACAATTCAATGTAATAGTTGAGTAGCTATTGATGCTCTTTGCCTAAATTCTTTTATTTCATTGAGATTCATACATTATTTTCATTTTGAAATATTCATTTTATTTTTTCTACTTGATATTTTAATGCAAAACTTTTATGCATTAAATAAATATAGATTATAATTTTTTTCTTGTGAGATAGTGGAGACTTATTGCTTTGCCTTTATTTATGAGTATTTTGAGAACTGTTATCATAATAACTACCATTATCAGGGCAAATATTTGAGCATGCTCTCTCTCTCTCTCTCTCTCTCTCTCTCTCTGGCTCTTTGTGTTTGTATCTGTTGTAATGTAGTTATATTTTAATTTACATTATGTATCAAAATTGATCCTCTACATTATTGCTTTTGATATAGACATCTACTCAAATCTCACTCGTGAGATAGCTATCAATATGAGTCTTTTGTCCTTCAGACTCAACCTCTTGAGTCTTTGACCAAATGATTGCTTTGGCATGGCTCAACATCCAAGGTTGCAGGGATTTCAGATCTGAACATATCTTGTCTCCTTGTAGGAGTGAGGGTTGTTTAGCATCCAAGATTTTGCCCATAAATATACTTGTATCTTGTCAGGAATATCATTTCTTGCTTTGCTGAAAACCTAACCAGGGGATTGAAATATTAAGTTAATATTTTAAAGACAGTGTCATTTAATGTTTTTTCCCCAATTTTATATTGCATAGGATTTAAAAAATTCAGCTTAATTTACTTTTAATGTTTTCTTTTAATATTAGTATTTCATATAATCTACTAACTTCCTGTCTTGTCCATGTACAAGTAGAATGTCATCCTTATGTCAACCAGATTACATTTTACTAGATTTCCACAAAGTCAACAGATTGATACTTCTTGTGTTCTAAAAAACAAATTAAATCAGAATAAATGGAAATTCACTTAAACATCTTGTTAATACATTATTTTCAGTCCTACAATACTCAGATTTCTAGAGTTAAATTTCACGTGGCTCAGGCACAAGAGAAACCTCCATTTCTGAGAAGCTCTCAGGTGACACTGTTGTTGCAGGTCCAGGACACACAATTCAGAAGCAGTGGTTTGGAGTGGGTACCTTAGCCCCTTGTGAGGCATACTGAGCAGCTGGAGCACAGCATCATGACCTGAGCAGTGCTGCCTTCCTTCTCAGGGTGGACCAGAGCACCTGGTTCTCTTGGGTCACCCAATCCTTTATGCTATAGCAGAAAGGCTCAAGCAAACTCAGTGCCGGATTGTCTTCTGTGACCAGCTTCAGCACAGCTTCAAGAGAACCACATGGATGGGAGCTTCCCAGTGATAAGGGGGCTCTGGATGTCAGGGCTCCTACACAGCATCCCTTACAAGTGTGTGTCACCGGAAGCTCTCAAGACATCCTGGGGTCACGTGGCACTGCCCTTACACACACATTTTGCACACATATTAAGTGTTCTCTCCTGTTCCACAATACGAGAGACGGCTTGGCTGGTTACGACTGAGACTGAGCACAGAGCAGAGATTTGCTTTCCACGTTAAGTGAGCAACGCATGGTATAGTCCTGTGTACGTAACACCTCCTTTTCTTCATTTTTTGAAATGCTGGAGTAGCATTAGCTATTTTCAGTGCAAAAGTGATAATGACTTTACTGGGCTTTCCTGAATATTTGTATGACTTAATATGCATATATTCACTGAATTCAAGTCCCTTCTGTTGTGAAGTGTCTGTTTACAAGCTGTATCTTTTCCTTGGTGGATGAGAGATAAGTAAATATCATCACTTAGAGTTGTCTACAGGCCACCTCCAACATAGAGGCTGAATATAGCACTCATTTACTTGCCTTATGACAATGAGCTTGGACTCAGCTGGACATCTCTTCTGCTCCGGACTGGGCTCGCTCTTGTACTTTCAGCACACAGCGGCGCCTGGAGCCAGGATGCTGATCGTGCAGTTCTCAGGGTGCCTCAGCTCTCCTCCTCTCCCTTTTCCCCTCCTGTCAGCTAGACTGGCTTCACCCTATTCTGTGGCCCAACCCAGGCAGGGAGTGAAATCTCCTAAGGTCTATAGGCATATGTTCACAGTGGCACACCATTGCTTATGGCCTGTTATTTCATCAGTGCAAGTTATGGGCCAGACTAGATTTGCAAAGTAGGGAAATAGGCCTCCCGTCTCAAAGGAATGATGTGCACATTCACATGACAAAGAGTATGAGACTGGAACTCATGAAAACCTTGGAAAAGGAAGACTGACTTGTAAATACCTCCCAAATGCCACTTCTCCAGACTCCCAGAACTCTTAGCTACTCCAGCCTAGAAAGTTTGTAAAGTGACCGTTATCATTTCCAACTGGCTGTTCACAAGCTTCTAGGCAAATCAGTTTAGGGTCCTAATAATTCGAAAGGAAACAACCCACACAAATAATAGGGACTGCAGGTATGAATCTTTATGACAATCAACTTTATATTATCCTGGATGCAGTAGATGAGCGTCTTCCCTTCCAGACCTGTGGACTGAGCATCAGCTGTGTGTGAGTCGACAATCGGCATCCAGAGACAAGAAATGTTGTGTGCAGGAGGCCACATTTGAAACATCTCCCGCATCACTGCTTACAAGCACAGGATTCTCATAAAAGTCGTGACAAAGCTCTCTGTGTCAATATTCATCAGAAAACGGGTGGCTGGGGTGTCCATCAAAACTAAAATTTAAAAAGTGGATAATATGAGCTCAATAACTCCATTTCTAGGGGGTAAAGTGATTTATTTCTACAAAGACTGTCACAGAGAGAAATTTAATCATTTTAATTCCTGACTGGTTTAAAAATCTGCCTTTCTTAGTTCATGAACATGACCGTATAGTTAACTTCTTCATCATAAGTATACTTTTCATATTCTATTTTTTGTCTGGAATTTCACACAAAGAACACACAGAGACAAAACTTCAAACATATTTCTATCCCTAAGCCACATGTGTCGACAAGCAAAAGCAATATCTTAGTTCATTTGATGTTGAATTCTCAATGAAAACAGAGACTGAGTCTTTCTAGTTTTGTACAAGATGTTGGCAGACACTAAAGAGTATTGCGGGTGTGTAAGCGACTGCTAGCAACTTCACTTTCACTGTGCTAATTCATTACTCCTTTCCTCACTGCTCATCCCACTCAACATAATGTGTTAAATTCAGAAATTGAAAAAATTTTACTCATAAGATAGAGTTCCATATTCTAGCAGCTTACTTTTTAATTTGATGATGTCTACCCTTTACCAACACAAAATATAAAATGATAGAAATCATTGCTTATTAAAACATTTAAAAAGTAGAAATATTTAGTCATCAATTGCCCTCCCTCCATCTCTCTGAATCATGTTCCTACCTAATTCTTCATTTTTGTCTACACCAAGACAAATGTTAGTATTAATATAATCCAACAGTGTTAGCATATATAATTTGGTATTATGCTAATATTTTCTCATACATTCTGACATTTCTGCTTGCTCTCATTTGAAATATAGATCCTCTCTCAGGTCCTATAACTTTAAAGCATGAAGGAAAAGGAAAGATCACTTGTTGGCTGCAAATTCTCTTCGACAATAGGACTTTCCCTTCATTTTTTTCTTCATCCACTCTTCTCTAAACTTCTTTATTCTTTACATTTAAATCTCTAGTATTCAGAAAATCAGAACTCAGAGCTTCTACTGACTCCACTAAAGGTAAACATTCTTTAGACAAATGCAGTGTTTGAGCACTGGCTGATGGAAAGTGGTGGAAGGGAAGTGAGAGTTGGAATTATTAAAGACACCAGGTTGAGATGTTCTAATGAACAAGCCCATGTGGAGGGGATGACTGTTCCTAACTTGCAGCACAGTATTAATGGAAGTGCCTTTATTCTGATCAGAAATTGAGAGATGTGAGAAGAGATAATGTAAAATTGGTTTTAGAAATGTATAATTGGGTTTCATTTGTAATACCCAAAGTCTATGTCCATTAGATAGCTGTGGAATAGACAGGCCTCTGTGGAAGTGTAAACTCAGCAATGATACTGGCTGATATGGAGAGTTTCACAGAAGAAGAACTACAGAGGTCCACGTGTGCAAATCCACACTGGCCCTGGCTTCACTCACAGAACAGAGGCCCTGTCTCACATCTGGCTAACACTGGTCCCTGTCTCTTGGTAATGAGGTGACTTTTAACACACGGTGTTACATTCTGTCCCAGAAAATAAATGGAGCCAATATGTTTATGAAAGTAACTTACTAATCAGCTGTATTATATCGAAAATTTCTGTTCAAGCCATCTAAACTTTTCATATCCTCTGAAGTCAACTGGAATTCAAATACCTATCAAGCAAAAAGAAGAGTTTAATTATATTTACACTTAATTGTACTAATTTTACACTTAATATTGGTAATCAAAATAATCCAGGTGAAAGTAACCAAATGCTGTAGACAATATACAGAACAGATGAAAGGGCTGAGGATACAAAGAGAGAGAGCTTGCTTGCCTAGCACACCAGGGTCCTGGTTTTAATTTCCAGCACGGCAAAGTTAGTAAAGAGGCAAAGAAAATAGATGAGAAGTTTCTAAAATTTATTAAAGTTATTGAATAGAATGCTCAAATTGTGAAAGATATCAGGTTAAAAAAAAAGAGACATCTCAGCCTTTATAAAATACATTAAAACTGAGTATTGCATAAAAGATCTTTAAAGAAACTAGAAAAGATAGAAAGCATACATTATTGAAAGACGATGTATTTAAAAGTCAGAAAAATTTAGAAATTAATTTTTTACAATTATTATTTAGCAAGATTCATGAATAGAGTTGGATTTTCATAATTCATTAGTAAGCAGAATTAAAACAAATTCTTCTCATATTAATGAAGACATATATTGTCCAGAAACATCTAAGGGCATAAAGTGGCTTGAAAAAGAAATCATCATCTAAATTAAGGATAAATTAAGCACCAAAAAGATTATCAATAATTGCTAACATATTGAAACTAATAGACCCGTTAACTAATAACAATTTTCTAAAAAAGAGAGATGGAGAGAGAAAAGTCAATGATGTCACAACTGATTGGTCTTGGTAGGAAGTGTTCATTGATCTATGCGCCAAAGTTTTTTATACATTTGGAAATTTTCAAGATTAAAAGGAGAAAACTATCAAAAGAAAATCAAAATTTTCAGTTTTCTGTGAATAAATCTAAAGAGATAAAAAATTTATAATGGAGAGTGTTATGAAATTTATTGAATTATACTAAAATATAACCTAAATATTTGAAAATTCATATCACAACTTTAGATCGCAGCCATCATTATTATCAATAAGTTCTCTCCAATATGACTGACAGTTTCAATGTATTATCAAAGCAATTAAAAAAGTACTATTTGGTGGTAAGTGATAGATTGACTCAATTTTATATAAAGAAATAATCACAACTTATGAAATATTTTTAAAATGGGAGGGAGAAAGGAAAGAAGGAACAAAAAAGTGAAAATAGAAAGAAAACATGGAAACAAAGCTTCTGCACATAAGGAGGGGAGGGGACTTGAATGGGGGAATGGGATAAAATAAAAGTTATTTTTTTAAAAAGGAAGAGTTGAGAAGCAATTTTACCATTCTGCATAGCACAGCTTATTTTCCAACCTGAACAAAACACTATAGAAAAGTAAATAAGTCATATGAATACAAGAAAAAGGTGAGAAAGATATTGTAAACATTTGGTCGATGACAGAGATAGCAATACAGATCTGTGGGAAAATATGAAATGTTCAAAAATTGTTCGGGGATGTCTATTAAAAATGTGTATGTCTATGTGTCTCTTTACTTCATATAATATTAACAAAAGCAATTCCAACAGAAGCAAAGGTCAAATTAAAGTCTAAAACACTTGCACAAAGCGATGCAGTATAATACTCTCACGTTCCCAGTGTAGGAAGAGGCAGACGCCCACCAGCCATAGAAGAAAAGCTTGAAGTATTTGGCTATATTGACAGTAGAAACATAATATTATAGCGAAAAAAGAATGAAAACACAAGCAAAATTTGAGAGACTGATACATCAACAAGATACGTGAATCTCAAAAATTAATATCCAGAATAAATACATGAGGTGCATTAAGATTTAAAATGTTTCTTCCCACCTCACGTCTCTGTCTCCACACCTTGTGCTTTTCACACGAATCCCTCGTTCTGTTAACGGGTGGTGCCTATTAAATCCGGGCTGGCCTGTAACTCGCACTTTTCAGGGCAACATCCCATGAACAGGGATGTGCCAGTTCTGAGTCTAGAAGGGAAAACTCTGTGGCGGTCCCCTGTCACTGACTTGGGATTGTGCCCCATGATGAGGGGCAAGGCTGGCCTCGTTTCCTGCAGAATAAAGGGCCGTGTGGAGGAGAACTGCAGAGGGGCCTCATTGTCCTGAAAATTCATGAGAGTTGGCTGAAAAAGTGTGAAATCACATCATCCAACTCCCTCATTTGAGACAAAGAGGAAAGACAGCGTCATTTGCCCGGGGCTGTTTAGAACACTGCAAACTTAATGGTGAAACCCACCTTTCTGTTTCCTGTCCAATCCCAAGGCCAGCCTTTCCTGCTGCTGTGGGAGAAGCAGAGAACGTGTAGGAACAACACGTTCTATGTGTGTGGACACTGACAGGGAACCTCACTCGGCAGAGAGGGGTCTGAGCGGCTACCAAGCAGCACACATGTGAAGAGGACTCTGGAGCAGCCCTGATGGCCACAGCCACCTTATACCTGCATGTTTTCTCTGATCCGCTTCTCGGTAACACTGTGGGCCAGGACCACAACCCCACGCTGCAGCTGGTAGCGAAGGGCAATCTGGGCTGAAGATCGCTGGTGCTTTTTCGCCAGGGCACAAAGAACTGGATCTTCCAAGAGAACTGGGGAGCTTGCATCGACCCTGGACCAAAAGGCAAAAATGCTCAAGTCCTGAAGCTGAGAATAAGGTTCTTTAGGAGTGTTTCAGAAGACACTAAGGTGCTAGCTCTAGAACTGAGTTCCCTGACCCTGGTCCCTGGAAGAGAAGCATCCATGCGATCTGTAAACTTGATAGAATTGAAATTCTCCCCCCTCCCCGAACCAGCGGAATGTGAACACTGCAATACTGCAGGTAGTATGACCAAAAACATTTCATCAACAATGGTTTTGAAGTAAAGTCCATCTTGTCCTTACCATAGTTTATCTCGCGAAGTCCCCAGAGCACTATAGGCCACCAGGACAATGTCTTTGGATTTGCAGAAGTCCAGCAGTTTTCTCTGGTTGAGGTAAGGATGACATTCCACCTGCAAGTGGAAGAGATAGGAAGCCATCAAATGAATACGGAGGGAAATGCAAGTTTTAACACACCTCTGTAACTTGAACTTTGAAAGGAGAAAGTAACACAATCTCCAGAAAGAGAAAACATCTAACTCCTAAATGGAAAAAGGAATAAAACAATATTCTCAAGAAGAAACCCCTGCATAGGCCAGATTTGGACTCCACAGAGACATGACAGATTCCAGATCTGCCATAGGGAAAGAGCTCTTGGAGCCTTGGACACAGCATCATTTCAGAAGCAAGAATTTTATCCAAGACATCTGAAGGCAAGTCTGAAGGATGAAAATGATTTTGGTAGTGCTACCCGGAACTCCAAGCATAGGGTTAACTCTGAGATCCTTCACTCACAAGTGAGATAAAAATGATATTTAAAAAATGAGCTTATTTGTGCCGTGGCCACAACCAGGAAAGCAGCCACTTTCACTGTGCCTCCCCTGAACCTGTCTCGGTGATGACTCCTTCTCACGGTCAATCCTACTTATCCCGTCAGCAACAGTTAGCATCTTCCAATGTTACGCAGAATTTCGACAGGGGACTATTACAAAGTTTACAAGAAAAATACAAAACAAACAAGTGCAGAAGAAATCCAGTTTAAATGGCAGATTTAAAAGAAGAGATATGATTCTTTTTATTCCTATCAGTTTTACTCAAAGAAAATCAATTTGTCTGAAACACAAGTTTAGCTTAGCCAGAACGTTGTATTTAAATAGACATTTCTCAGAAGAAGTACAAGCAGCCAATAAATGCATAAAAAATGTTCAACATCTCTGGCTATTAGAGAAATGCAAATTAAAACAACTGCCAGAAAGAATCACTATCACCAAGATACCAGATGATGACAAACGCTGGCAAGGATGGCGGCAAAAGCAGCCTTCTACAAGGCTGTGTGGGGATGTGAACTAGCGCAGCCAGCACGGAGGCCAGGATGGAGATGCCTCAAGAAACTGAAGCCACAAGTTCCAACTGACTCGCCATTCTCTTTCCAGACATCTTGGCAAAGAGGTAAAGACATCGTGTTACAGCGATACAGGAAACCTCGGTTTGCAGCAATATATTTCATAACAGCTCAATCTTGGAAGCAGCCTATGGCCATTCACAGATGAATGGATAAGGAAAATGTGGTATTTATACACAATGGAGTACAACTGAGGGATAAAAAATGATAAATTTGAGTCATTTGTGGGAAAAATGGATGCACCTCGAGACTATAATATTAAATGAAATAAGTCAGACATATAAACTTAAATACCACATGGTTTCTCTTATGTGAGAAACTCAAAGTATAAACAAATCAGAGCAAAATAAATGATAAATGATAGGAAATAGATCTTTTGCAAATGGGAACGGGACCAAGAAATGAGGGGAAGGGTTGAGGGAACAGGGGCATAAGAAGAAGTAAGATGTGTTACGGGCGTTTACCAACTCTCCACAATGAAAGTCGTCACTATACATCGCAAACATGTATTGCTAGAAATAAAAATGTAAGCATCTTCTTGTTGGACTCCTTTGATACTAACCAAGGTGAATTATCATTTGGGAAGAAAGCACATGATTTTACATTTATAATGCATCAGTTTTTGTTAACAAATTGTAAAATTAAGTAGTACGGTATATTAGGAAATCATCTCAAAATTCCAAATTAAAATTTTCTTTCCTCCAAGAATTCAATGTTAAGAGACTCTAATCACACAGAATGTGAAGAACGGCATTTTAATAATTAAACTACATTTGTTTTAGTTCTCTTTGTAGTGACACCACCTGAAAATTTCTTAGATATGTAGCACAGAAAAATAAGGTACTATAAAATTTTGGACACAGACTGTATGAATTAATGCTTATTTACTAACAAAGAACATATTTTACCACATTTCAAATATATTAAGTACAATTGATGAAATTTTAAATTAGTTTACCAGCAAATTGGGATTGTCTGTAGTAATAAAATCCTAATAAAAGTTTTAACCTGAGAAAAATACTTTAAATTAGCTAGCTTTATACATATCCTACATTAACTTTTTAAATTGTCAATTAATTTGAGATGAATGATGAATAAAGCAAGATTTCCTCTTGCTCACTGCAGGAACATGACTTCTGCCATCTAAAGTCACTACAATTTATATGCGTATGTGTACATATACACAACTTCTTATAGCTATGTTTTGTATTTTTCTGAGAGTTTGATAACTAAAATTACAAATTAGTTATTTTTATGTGTTTAGATACCCACCATGATTGAAAACATTATATAAAGCACCATGAGATTTTAATAAATTTTTTATTTAAAAAAATTTAGATTAGTCATAATATATAACTTGTATGATTAGAAAAATAATAGTTGTGCCTTTAGCCATAGTTATAAAATTTTTTAAAGAGTAAAAGAAATAGATGTTTTAAAAAACTTGTTTCGACAGTTTTCTTAATTAACTAAAATCTAACAAGCAAAAGACCTAAGAATTTATCTTGATATATAAAACTCCTATTTATAGTACAAAATGTTTTTTATCTCAAAATGTTGTCTTTTTAAATAGATTGTCTCTAACCAAAAGGTATTTAAATATTTTACTAATGTATATATATGCAAAAAGATGGTTTAGTATTGTAATATCACATGTTGCATGTAGTCTAGGGAAATATGATTAAATTAAAACAAAAATATAAGTTTTGGAAATCATATATAAGTTAGTAATCAGCACTTTTTAAATAATCTGGTATTTCTCCTGGCCTGTGTAGGCTTGGGATAAACAAAGAAATACCAAATAAAATTAAATGTCTTATGTTTGAGAATTCTGATAATATGATTTTTAAAAATTGACTAGAAACTTTTTCAGGACTCAATCTATGCCCACAACTTCTGTTTAGACTTATTTGTAGATTCTCAAATATTTCTCAACCAACAGATATTCATATATTTATATCCATACTCTAGACATACTATGCTTGTCAAACATAGATAGAGACACTGTACATTTAATAAACATACATTTATTAAAACTGGAACTGTATTTGGCTGTAGAGGCCCAAGACTTTTCTTTTTCAATCTTAAAATATTTCCTTGCAAGAGACAAAATGATTTTTTAACTTATTTTTCTAAGAAAATGATCTGGTCAATAGAAACCTACCTATATTTGACAGAAGCAGACAAGTCTTTCTAGTCTCTGTTTAGATGAATAAAACACACTTTGTTAATTAAATAAGTTACACATATTCAATCAACCTGGAGTAGCCTTTATTAATGGACATCTCAAACAAATGGACGTTAAAACAGAAAGATATTCCCCAAAGCCATCTGCTACCTGAAACACATGGTGACATTTTTTACACCTTAAATATAAAATGAGGTGCCTTTTAAAAAGTATTGACTTTAGAATGTTTTGAAATGATGAACAAATTTGACTCTTAATCATCTTTAAACTGTATTGTTCAAAGCTCACCCTACCCTCAAATTATTGCCCTATTTATAGCAAATAGTACTTTCACTTAAAGTTTTTATTTCTATGTATCTATTCCTATTGTCCCTCTAGAATAGTTGTTCTCAAATTTATTAAAGTATCAGATTGTTCTATCTATCTATATTGTCTATCTATCTGTCATAGTACTGATATAAAACATAGCCTTCATATATATATTTCATAAATCTCCAGCATATATAGTATATACAGTGTATATATAAATAATATATAATATATATATGTACTTTAACAGGGTTTTGCTAGGTTCCTAACTTGCCCAATCTAGGCTCAAACTTAATATCCTCTTACCTCAAATTACCAGAGTTGGGGATTATAGGCATGGACAACCATGCCTAGGACAGGTATATCTTAATGCACTATAAAATGTTTTCATACACAAGTGATTTAGGAAGCACATTTAATAAACCAGATTATAACATCTTTCTTCTAGATTTTAAGAAGCTAAGATTACTTGAATTTATTTTTAGCAATTGAAGTTTCAATATTTTAACATAATTGATGACTGAGATATTTCTTCTCTCTGATGTACATATATAAACATTTATCCAATTTGTATATATCAAATTTATCAGTCACAGTTATTTCATGAAAATTGGGACACTAGAGAAGCACATCTAATACTTCTAAGTTATGTATTTGCCAAGGAAAATACATTGAAATTCACTGTATTTGTGATACAGAAAGCAATGGATGTTGAATCTTAAACATCTAACAGAGACAAATATAACCCTGATAGGCATGCAATCAAATGTATGTTAACATTTCTCAAGAAGTCTCAATTTTACCTTACTAGCAAACTGAACCATTTGTCAGAGACTTACTTATTTTTAATTTATAGTTATAAAACAAAGCAATATGGCAATATAAATTTACCAGATTTATAAACACTTTGATTTCAATGACATTTTGACAAGCTGAAACAAGTTGATGCTACCTGGTTATATGGCTAAACTCAAATATTTATATTTGTAGGCCTACAATTAAATTTTTATATACCATTAATCTGACTTTAAAATCTTTTTTTTTTTTGTACCAGGGATCGAAATCAGGTCCTTTCGCTTGCGAAGCAGGTGGCAGAACCACTAAACTAAATCCCCAGCCTCGACTTTATAATCTTTTACATTATTTCTTTACTCACAAATAGTCTGAAGGCTAATACTTTTGATGTCTGCTTTCCAATGAGGAGTTACTAAATAACAATCTTCCATGTAAACTAAAAATACGTTATCTTAGCAGAAAAGAATCAGATAGATATAAAACCAAAAATCCTCCTATCAAACAAAGCAAAATTAAAAAGCAAAACAAACTACGTAAGTGTGCGGAACCAAAATGGGGATTCACCAGGAATAAGAAAACGGACTGTCAGCACATTGCAAAGCACCGTGGACACTTTAGACAAAGTTGTTTCTATGAATTATAGGAACAGTTTAAAGGATAAGTCAATTAAATTCTGCCCAATTTGGCAGGTTTGTCTGGTGACTGGAGCAAGGGTCGACGCTTTGGAGGCACCGAGGGTCAGCAGATGTGTTGGCCATAGGGACTCCTTTCCAGGCTGCGCCCCGGGGGACACATATCCCCTACTGCGTGTGCCAGGAGCCCTGAGAAGCGAAGCCTGTGTGGGAGGGAGGCAGCAGGTGACCACTTTCCCTTCCCCTCTCGCACGAGCTGTTGGAGCCCCCTCCTGCCCAGGGATGGAGCCTTCTGAAATGGGCCCCTGAGACCCCTGAGGGCCACAGCCACCTTAGCACCTCCATCCCTATGCCGGTCCCCTCGGGCCACCCAGCCCAGTCGGGCCAGGAGGAGGTTCTCTCGTCCTTCAGAGCCTAAGTACACTCACATGAATAAGTTTCACAGGACTGTCAGTGTCAGTCAGCAATCTTCTCAGTTTCTTACCGACTTTGTTACCCTAAACATCCACTAACAATCACACTCATCCCTAAAATAACACATGCAATCAGCACATTAAATTCAGAGTGCAGCTGTCGATACCAGGCAGCTAAAGTTCTACCTGGGGTCTTCAAGTTAGGGTCAGCAATTTCCATTCCCACACAAATCCCAGCACCAATGTTCCAGGCGTCCAACATGCTGCATGCCCGAATCTGGTGGGGATTCTAAGCTGCTCAGGTGCGCTCCAAGTGGCGAGGACACGAGGAAAAGACAAGGCTGGGGCGGACTTGTCAAGGGTCGGAATTGGGCTGTAAATGCCCCAAACATTCGCTTCCTATTTCATCAATAGCAGCAAGGGCAGGTGACACTGGCTCCGAGGAGTGAAAGCAGGGCAGTTGGCAGCTGCAGGAATGATCTCTCTCTCTCTCTCTCTCTCTCTCTCTCTCTCTCTCTCTCTCTGTCTGTCTTCCTCCCTCCCTCCCTCTCTGTTCCCCTCATCTTGGGCCAGACAAACTACAGGTCAGCCCTTCCAGGGTTGTAACCCAATGAATGACCAACCAGAGCTGCCAGGTCCACCTGGGGCACTAGACCCTGTTGACGAGCCCTCCAGGAAGAGGCCTCGGTCAGGGCTGCTGCATAGACTGGACTCTGTCACCTGCCTACATCAGGGGGAAGAGAAAAAAAATGAAAATAAAATTTTATCACCAGAGGTCTTCAGTAGCAATGGGGACCTTGCTAGTGATACTTCAATAAGTTTCTTCTTCAAAGACAAAAATGAGGAAGATCAATTTTAGTATATGATATACATAGAATTCTCTGCTTGTATTGTCAAAGATATAAAAAGAGATCACAAATACACTTTCCTTAATGATTAGTATGCTAGTTCAATTCTCAGAACTTTGCTAAGTAAAGAAAAGCTATTAAGGATTCTATTACTATATAGGTAAAAGTATAGTTAATCTTCACTTGATATATAAATTTGTTTATAAAATATAAGGTCTGAAAAGTAAACATAGCAGTTAAAAATGGAAATACTACTTACAAACCCCAATGAAGTAAATGAATTTAGGCAAAAATCATCAACAGATACTCAACTGTTACGGAAAATTTGTTATAGGGCATAACTTTGTTTGATAATTATTCAACGGATACTACTGAATGCAGTGGGAGAACACATGCTCCCAAAGAAGAGATCTGAAGCACAAAGCCTTGGGTGCAATGCCCAGCACTGGAAACAATAAAAAAAATCACAAACAGAGAAAATGAAGAAGAGATCTGACTATAACTACTTGAACCAAGAGATCAAAAGTAACATCACTAGCAGTGAGACAATCTGTCATTTTGTGCTTCCTACCAGGGTGAAATCTGATGAATATGACAATACCAAAGATATGTTCTCCAAAAATGGTTAACAATATAACAAAGCATCTGGCCTAACCTCTAATTTACAAGACTTGAAATATACAACCAAATTATATATAATTGCAAGTAAAGAATCTGATGAATATAGAGTATTTGCCAAGATTTGTGTGACTATCAGGGAGAAAATGAACAGTAACCTTTCTAGGCTAACGAGTTTGTAGAACAGGATAAAAACTCACATGTGAACCACAAGTATATCTTGGTTTTTAACAGGAAGTATACAAGATGTTTTGAGAAAATAAGGGAAAATTTGCACTTGGAGTAGATATTAAATGACAGAAAGGAACCATTACTTCCTTAGACTTAATAATGCAACTGTAACTGTGGAGGGGGTAGCTTTATTCATGGGAGATGTTTTCTGTGTTTGCGAAGGTGAACAGTCATTTATAGAATTTACTTTGAAGACGTTAAGCAAAATGCTATGCTTATAAATGGACACACACACACATATTTGTACCAACATTTGCCAGCATGGAAAATGGAGGGGAATGAGTGGGAAAGTGTGGATTTTCTACATTATTCATTCAAATGTTCTAATGGATTGAAATGATTGGCATAAGACATACTGATAAAATGAGTACTGAAATGACAATGATTTTTAAAATTTACACTACAAGATAATATTGCTCTACAATTACATAGCAAATTTGTAAATTTTGAAGCTCCATTTTACAATTAAGGAGCACCAGTACATACCTGGAAGCTATTAAAAAATACAGCTGAGAACCAGGCTCAGAACAGACATACTTGAACAAGTGATTTGACTTCAGGAACCAGGGAGAAGTGACTAACATGTGCTCAGACATTTTGACCAGCTCAATGTTCTGGGAAAAGTACCTGAGTATTGATTTCATCCAACATTAATATTTCCATAAATAAATAATATACTTCCTACATCCGGAGTGACTGTCAAAGTCACCAGTTAATTCTTCCCCTATTTATACACCTGAAAGCAGAGATGCCAGAAGGAAGGACTCAAGCATCAAAACCCCACCTGAGCCCAAGACTACACACTCAGCCTTAGAATCCCAACCAAAAACATAACTTCTCTGACATTAATTCTAGATTTCTTTAATGCCCATGGCCTGCTCTCCTGGCTTTAATTGCAACAACAGCATCACCCACCCAATTTTTGGTCATTTTTCATAGCTCAAGGACAAGGCTATCTTCCCCCTGAGGTCTACTTAACAAGCATCCCCACCTACCCTCTTGATGAACTTCACTTTCCCTACATTTTACACACCATTTAGCCCTAAGATGTCCCCGATGCTTCAATAAGATAGTCTCAAGAAGAGTCATCATGAAGGATCATCCATGTATTCCCAGAAGAGGCTGTGCTCCAAACATCCTCTGCACAACAGTGATGAATATATACAGTACCTCCAAATAATAGTAGTAGCCAATGGGAAAGAAAACCAGAATGAATGGAGTAGGGGTGCTCACTTGGTTGCAGACGGGTTTGTACTTGAGTCCTGGCTTGTTCAGGATCATCTCCAGCTGCCTGCGGTTAAAGTTGGACACCCCGATGGACTTGGCCAATCCTGCATCCTTACACTTCTCCATGGCCTGGGGAGAAATACATTGTGAAGACTGACTTGTGTAGTTTTCTTCAAATCAATATACCTACCACGAAGAACTTTTAGAAGGAACACTGTTGAGAAACGCTGGAGATTGTTATCTAGAAAGGAGTGTTTGTCATGAAAGTAAGACAAGATAGTGACACCAGAAAAGAATTCTTACTCCCTCCTAAGGAACTGGGAGAAGCCACTGCACGTGGAGGGAAAGAGATGTCAATCTCCACTGTCTTAAGTTATTCGCCTCTGTTTCTGTTACTCTCCAGCAAAGCATTCTTAGGCATCACTACATCAAAATAATCCTTGTAAAAGATTCAACTGTGCACATCCATTCTCACAGGTGAGGTCAAACCTGGACCTGTCTGTCTTCCGACTTTCACCTCTGTGCTCTCTTGTCCAAGAACTCACCGCCCACGTATCACAGAGATCCACTGTGTCACATAATAGTTTTCCATGATCATCTTTGGGTAACAGATTCTCCCCAGGCTGGAATAGAAGCAGACACTTTAAGGATTTTAATGAATTTACGTTGCCACAACTAGATATTGCATGAGTGTTGTGGGACTGGGATAATAACTTTCATGAAACATGTATGTCCATAGATACTGATATTTGTCAACTATTTTGCTTTAAAGTGGTAAGGAATGTCCTTGGAAAACGGGCTTCTTCTAATCATTTATCTTTTGTATGTTTTGTGAGTGGTATTTTCCAAAGTCGAATAGGGTCTCACTTCATTTTTATCACTTTTGTCAGCAAAAGTATATTTTCTTCTGTTAAAAGACTTCTCTCTCACTGGGTAAGGAAATAATTATGTAGCCTTCATATCCACCAATAATAGGTTGTTTTCTTGACCCAGGGAAGACAAGCAGAGCTCCGTATCCCACTGGAAAATCTTTTGGCCTGCATAAGTACCAAATAGGGTCAAGTGTTTTTTGCCTTGAAAGTGGCTTTTGTTATTTCCTCAAGTGTTTGAGACATAATGTTTGAGTTGTTCAACTTTGTTCTCTTGGAAGCACAAAGTATGAGATCAAGGATGCAAGACTTACTCAAAATAAGGGAATAAGTAATCCTTATGATTTCCTCTGGTATAATGATCACTTCCTGCTCTTAAACATTCTTCATTCAACCATCTACATAAATAATATTTAAGCTGAAATCAGCAGTGAAAGAGCTTTGCACACACAAGCTTTTTACCTGCAGAGGTGTTGGGAAATGAATAAGATAGAGGTCAACATAGTCCAGCTGTAGTTTTTTCAGTGACATTTCCAAGGCTGGTTGCACCAACTCTGGTCTACTGAATGTGGGCCAAAGCTACAAAGGTTAAAGAACAAAATCTAGAATTCATATCTGAGCCAACTTTGTTGACTTGCTTTACCTAATTTAGGGACAATTTTCTACTTGTTGAAAAGTTACGGACAGGGGGAGACAAATACAGTGCTTTCCTTGGTTTCCTTTCATCTGCCTTATACAGGCAAAGTTTATTATTTGTTTATTTACTGACCATGTAACTACTAAAATGGAAGGAAATTACTCAAGACTTAAATTTTTTTCTCAATAATCATGACCATTATGTGAATTATATTTAATTAAATTTATAAAGTGGTACACAAGTTTAGTTTGAATCTTTTTCAGTTCAATGGAAGAAGTCTTTTAATCTAATAACTGGAGAAAACAGTTTAGAACATCTTATTCTATACACAACTCATCATATTTTAGGTATATCTGTGTAATACTCAAAGACCCCTCTTACATTGCTCTTCCTTACTGACAAAGTGAAAATTAAAACCAAAAGGAACTTTTTCTGAAAGTTGCACATGAGATTGCAAAAGTGAGAACCTGATCATCTGGCCGTCTTATCTAATCGGTGATGAATTACACATCTCTGATCTAAGATTCAAAGAAGTAAAGAGGGGGCTGGGGATCTAGCTCAGTGGTTCCACCGCCTCTCTCCCAAGTGCAAGGTCCCGAGTTTGATCCCTGGTACCAAAAAGAAAAAAACAAAACAAAGAAGTAAAGTGTCTCAACATAGAAGTCATCAGTTCAGACACCCTAATTCTGACAAAGATGCCATCTGTTTTGGATTGTGGTTTCAATACATAAATAAATATGAATAAAAGTTGTACAAATAAGCAATAATTTATCAAACAGCCACTGATCCATCATATATTGTCATCCCCCTACAATCACATTAAATAAATATACACACAAGCACAACATATACATAATACCTTTGAAGTGTAGAAAATCTCCTCCCTCTTCACAATGCCATCTGCAATCTTGCTTCTGATGGCCAGTCCTACTTCCTCTTCATTTTGGTAACAATATGCACAATCAAAATGCCGGAATCCAGCATCAATCGCTAATTTGGTGGCCTCCAGTGCCTTACTCTTAGGGAGCTGGTGGTGCAACCAAAGATACTATTTGGAGATCAGTGTATTGACAGGAATACAATTAATACACCTATAAATTTCCATTAGCAAGGATTCCTCTGCTGGATGTAGGCAAAATAAATTCAAAACCTTCTGCAAACTATTTATCAGTCAAGATATTGTTAAACATATTCATCACTCATGGAACGGGAGTCAAATTATCAACATCAACAAGATTTTGGAACCAACTGACTCCAACATGCATAAGTGACTTTGAGGGACTCCATACTCTGGGAGAGGAAGTAACTTCAGATGAGTTGGAAATGGCAAAGGAATTAGAATTAGAGGTGGTCCCTGAGGATATGATGGTAGTGTATGTAGCAAGCTCACCGTAAAGCTGTAATGGATGAGTTGCTTCAGAGGGATGATCAAAGAAAATCATTCCTTCACAAACAATATTCATCTCATGGAGATTCTGAGAATATTGCTGGGATGACAAGAAATAATTGAGAGTATTGCATAACCTTAAGTAGGGGCTGCTGTGAGGTGTGTCAAAGCCTGGGTGAGGGCACTGGAAGACACGATCCCATTGTTTAGTGTAGGTGCGAGATAGGCACTTGTTGTATAATAATGAATCAACACAGAGAATCACACATGTGCTATGCAGCCTGCAGTGTCACCCAGGATGTTTTGTCTTACTGTGTCGCACTAAACTGATAAAAACTACTGTAAGTGCTGCGCTGGAAAACAAAGTTGCTTCCTGCTTTTTTGTGACATCTGCTCCACACGTGTTCTTTTCTTTGGAGCCCCGCCTGACCTGGTTTTCCTTCAGCCCACCGACCCCACCATCTTGGTTGATATGATGAAAAGAAGGGTGCAGAGAATTGACTCCAGCTTTGAAAACGTTATATTGTGATAAAAATGCTACAAATAGCATTGCCTGTGACAGAGCAATATTTCATGAAAGGAATAGTTAATGGATGTGGAAAACATCATTGTTGTCTTATTTTTTCTACAGTCATCTCAACTTTAAGCAATCAGCACCTTGATCAGTTAGCCCCCATTAGCAATAAGGCAAGACCATCCATCAACAAAATTAGGGCTTGCTGAAAGTTCAGATGTTCAGAAGCATTTTTCAAAAATGAAGTGTTGTGTAAAGAAGACATATACCTTGTTTTTATACATAATGCTATTGGTCACATAATAGAATAGAGTAGAAATATACCTTTAAAAACATGGGGAAGACAATTCATGTAACTCAGCTCACTGAAATGATATGGAACCGAATCACAATATCTCCAAGGTATGTTACATATATATGGATATATATGGATATATGGATATATATGGATATATATGGATATATGGACATATGGATATATGCTGTAAAGATTTAGTACAGTAGCTCTTCTCCCTGAAAATAAAATTCATTTCCTTTAGGAAAGTTACAGTTAGAAGAAGATTTTGGTTTATGCTATGATTTGAATGTGTCTCACCACAGAATGTAGAAAGTATAATCTGCAATGTGGCAGTGTGTGAGTGGGCCCTAGTCATAGCAGTCTGAGGGATCTATCTTCATGAACAGATTAATGCTGACGATAAGAAGGCTGAAGTCTTCCAGTTCCACTATTGCTTGTATGCATATGTTCTCTCCTCCTCTTTTGCCTTATGCATTGGAATGATGCAGAAAGAAGGCCCTGGCCAGTTACACTACATTCCATTTTGGACTTCCCAGCTTCTGTAACTGTAAGAAATAAATCTGTCCTTTTCACAAATAACCCAGTCTTGGGTATTTTGTTATAGCTGCACAACATGGAAAGTTTGTCTACCAAATTTGGATGAAGACTCTGAAGTGCTTCTGTTAAAGGAGAAAGCAGAAAATTAAATAAATTATTTTCTATTTATTTTTAAGAATCTCAGAAGCTTTATTTTTTCAATGAAATTGGAAGATACTCTTCTTGTAGCCCTTTCTTGGTCCCAAGCCAGGAGTATTGGCCCTTACAGATTTACTAAGTCTGGATCTGTGTTGCGTCCTTATTTACCTTTCACATCAGTTTGCCCTCTGATGAAAGACTGGTATCAAACATCTTCAAAATATCTCTTTAGATAATTGTTTATGACTTAAAGATAATAAAGGTGAGACTCAAGTTTTATGTAACTGGACCTTGGCCACATATTGAATAATCTGGGATAATTTTGGAATAAAAATATTTTCTCAGCTTAGTGAATTTTCCATTTGCTCGTGTTTGGGTAGAGATCTATCTCTACTATTTTTATTCAAATTCAGTGTATATGAACGTTGACCAAGAATTTGGACTTGCTTCATTGGAGTATAGTTTACCTCTTATATGGTGCTGCAGTTTCCTGTCAGATAAATTTACCCGAGTTGGGAGTGGTGCCTGTGGAACCCTATTTAGCCCAACAGGTCCAGTATTTGCTGAGCGATGTTCAGCAAGCTGCTCCTCAGTGGAACAGCAATACTTTTCCAGCTTTTTCATTGGCCTTATTTCTAGTAATTTCTAGCACATATTTCTTTGGATCATGCCTACTTGAAAGAAGCACAGACTTCTTGAATTCTTGAAACAAACCAATGCCATTTCAGACTCCAAGTATGACAAGCAGTAATCCTAACTGCTGGGTTTCATATCCTGCACCCAGCTGTGAAATAGATTGAAACGGGGTGGAAAACAGCTCAGAATAATCTGTAGGTCTTCACATGGATACTTCACAGTGCAGAGCAAAATGTGACTACCTGCTCTCTCATATAAGGGTTGACTCTGGCCTGGAGAAACTGACATCCATGTGAGTCCCCCTGAGTCACAGAGGATCAGACTTGGAAATCCTGGCCAGCTTCCATTCATCCTAAGATTTTTTTCTCTTAAATCCTCAAGCCTAAGACATTGTCATTACCTTGCTAGGTATACTGGTGCCAAATCCGAGGACAGGAATGGAATGACCATCATTCAGTGCCACACGCAGATGTTTGTGATCCATGGCTTGTCGCTCCTCTGGCTAAGCAAATGCTGATTCCTTCTTCTGCCTTCAGAGTTTATTCAAGAATAAACAAGCAGTGCTCCAAATACCTGTCAAAGATTAACCAAGGCTTTGTAAATGGAGCAAGTTTAAAGCAGTATTTCACAGAGAGAGAAGAGAATTGGGATAGCTTTTATTTTAAAGTAAATTTTCTGTACATTTTGTCTTATAATAAAACTATTCACTTTTTGCAGAAGAAAATTTTCTATTTTCAGAGTCCACATTCACTACTATGAAATATTAATGTTTTGTTGAATAATTATTGACTGTATCTTAGACTATCAAAAATCTCAAGCTATCAATCCGTTGTGATTGTTTGTTTTTTGAGAAAATGAAGGCATATCTTTATTATATATCATTTCTAGCCTTTCATTGTCTTACACATGTTATACTACAAATATGCATGCATTTTAGAAAATAAATAAAAGATTATATTTTTAAAAATGTTCTCAGTAAAGAATCAAAAATGAAAATTGTTATATTCTGGATAATCCGATCTAAGTATCAACATTTAAGGTCCTTGTTTGTACTTTCTCTAGCTTTTAAAATAAATTATATCTTCTCTGAAATTAGTTTCTGATACGAATTATTGCTGTTCTTAGACGTAAAGTGAATTTTCTTAGAATGCCTATTTGGTTCCTCTAAAAAATCTGTTCTGGCAGTCTTTCTGCCTTTTGATTGAGAGCTTAATTCATTTATTTTAAACATAATTACTGATAAGGAAAGACCTATTTTTGGTTGTTTCACTTTATTTTTTATCTTTCTTCATTTTCTCCATTACTAACTTTGTGTTTGTAAGATATTTTAGTGACATTGTAATTCCTTTCTCATTCATTTCTATGCATGCTCTATAGGTTTTTGTGATGCATGTTTACCATAAGGATAAAAATGCTACTTCAAATTGGCACAAATTTATCTTACATGTTAAATGAAAACACTAATCCCACATACTTTACTACTGATTTCATTGATTACAACTTCATACATTGGCCTTCATCTACTGGCATATATTTATAATATTGCTTGTTGTAGATTGCCCTGTTTATTATGCTCAAAGCAGGCTGTAAGCACTGCAGGCTACAAAGAGTTAACCCCACAATTGGCTTGTTTTAAGTAGAGAGTCTGACCAAGGTCAGAGTGACTCTTATCCAAATTCTGTTCCCAGCCTTACACAAGAATGCTTTTGCTCTTCTTTTACAAGCCTTGACGGCATCAGCAACATATCCCTAGCAACCACGCATAGCCCTCTCACTCCAATTTAACAATGATCGCGACACCAATAAACACGAGTGGCTTTGGCTGGGCGGGGTCTTTCCTGCTTGTTCAACACTGGCCATCCTGCCTCCCCATATTTCTCTCTTTAATTCTGTCTCCTAGTCTTCCTTCTCACCATGGGTCATAGCACTGAGCAGACCGGGATCCACAGCAGGTGTCTGTGATAGTTTTTGATACAGGGTCTTGCTCTTTTTGCACAGGTTGTATTTCCTCTCCTGGGTTCAGGCAATTCTCCCAGTTCAGGCTCCCAAGTAGTTCAAAATGAAGGCAAGTGCTATCATGCTTGAATTCAATTATTTTTGAAGGAATTTTATTTTAAATATTGAAGGAGAAGGTGGAATTACAAAGTGAAATGTCATAAACACATGTCGAATATTTGACCCTATGTATCTTTTACTTGGTGTCTTTATATTTTTAGAGGACTTGTTGGCTATTCTCTAGCATCTTCTCCTTGCTTGTAATGCAGTTCTGGTGATAATAAATTCATAATAATTAAGTTCTAGTGATCAGAAAAGATAGTCAACCTAAGTTCAGTTTTTCAAAAATTTCTTGTTACTTGATTTTAGCTTATCATATGATCAGAACCTCACTGGGGTAAAACTAATTCCCACTGCTATAACAAGCTTACTCCTGAAATAGACTCATGCCCCAAGGCCACTGCCACCAGACACAGCTGATGTTTTCCAGTAGCCTGCTAGAGTGCATCTTCACGTAATCTCTTGCCATGAGGGCTCTTCCAGAAGCCACAACTACAGGAAAGCCTGGGGATGGTGATTGTTAGCATGTTTCCAGTATTTGATTTTGCCAAACTGGCACTTATTTCTGAGAAAAAGATCTTTGTTTGCTACACTGTACTATGCACAGTCAACTGGTTCCTGATCCACCCGATGCTGCCTAAGGTCAGGGAGGTTTGTCTCTTAGATCTTAGCAAACATCTACTAGGGTAACACAAGCTGAAACACAGGCTGTCAAGCAAGGCCGCTGGTCTCTACCTGATACCAGAGCAGATCAGGAAGCTGTATCTGAGAGATTCATCTGCTTAGGGGTGTTATGTGTCTAGCCAATTCCACAGTTTTCATTCCTACAACTATGTAAGAAATTTTAAAATCATTGATTGTGTCAGTGCCCCCCCCATACTTCATTCATTTCCAAGCTTTTAGAGACTGAAATTCTTTTGATTTTCTTGATGAAAATAGAATATTTTAGTAGTGTGATAGATATTAGGATGAATCTGTAGATCACATTGAACAGTATCCCCATATTAATAAATTGTCTTATTGTACATGAACATGTGTTTAGATTTTTTGCCTAGATTTTTGGTTACATTACAGTATTGTACACATTCTTGGTTAAGTGTATTTTCAATTTCAACTATTTGTTATTTTTGACACCATCTTAGATGGAATGGAATTGTTAAAGAATAGTTATGTTTATTTTGAATATACACAATTATTTTGAATTCTCCAGAGCTTTTAAATTCATTTATTAAATATAACATTACTTTGTTAAATATGTAGGATTTTCTGCATATTGGATTGTTACCATTAATTGTAAGTATCAACCAGATTGGATTACGATATGCCCAGGGGATTAATAAAGCACATTTCTGAGTGTGTCTTCATGGATCACAGAGGTGGGGTCTCAAGAAGTATATGTGGCCTCTAGCCTCTCTCTGTCTAGCACTTTTACACTGCTCTGATCCCCAGGTGCCTTGGACTTTCCTTTACAATATCCTTCCACAATGTCATTTCTCTCTTGGAGACACATGAGCATGGACTGAATCTATTGAACCTGTGAGTCAAATCAAATTTCTCCTCATTTAAGTCATGAGTCTTGGGTATTAGGTCCCAAAGATTAAAAATGTGACTAATACAGAAAATTGATAGGAGAGAAATGGGGTCATTTCTGGGACTGTACTTGACCATATGCTTTGGAAGCCTTCAGAACGAGTTTGGAGGAGTTTGAAAAGGTTTGCAGATATAGGCTGGCAAAGCCCTAAAATTCCTTCAACAGAGCCCATTGGGTGATTATGGTCAGTGTTCTGAAGAGAAGAATTCTGACAAAAATGCAGAAGATAAAGGTCAGGCTCAAGAGGGTTGAGTTGGCTATGATTGTTTTTCTGACAATTGGACTACAGGGTATGTTTGTCAACATTTTGACCACGAACTGAGACTTTGCAGGAGACTGAGATTAGAGGGGGTAGACCAATTGCTCTGGAAAATTTTGAGACAATTCGCTATTCAGGCCATGGCATGGGTACTGCTGACTGCTTTTAGCCTGATATATAGTGAGAATTTGGGCAAAAAAGCACAACATAAAATTTTTAAAACTTAAATTTGGGCTCCAAAGGAGCCACATGTAAAGTTGGGCCCTAAGACTGCATGGTTGCTCAAGAAATTATGTCTTAAAAATAAACCATGCACTTGTACTATAACAAGAAAAAGATGCCTTGAGGGCATCTCAGAAATCAGTCAAACCTCACCCATCACAGGCTCATGATAGTAAAAGTGCAAAACTTTCATTTGAGAAGAAATTTTGTGGACCCTCTACTTGAGAAGGGTCATTTTGGAAATTGGTTCCCTGGAATTCCTTCCTTTGTGCTTGGACATCTTGGAACTCAGAGGATTCTGCAGCCATGGTCCAAGGGGCCCTGGCTATTCCTCAAACTGACAACAGACCTTGGTGCTGTCCTACATTATGTTGGGTTTATTGGCATGCACAATTCAAGAGTTTTTGGGCTGGTCAAGAAAGCTCCTCATCCCATTCCCCACCAGAAATCAAAGGAAGGTCTGTGAATTTAGGCAAGAACACTCTGAGAAGACCATCCATAAGGAAACTGAATGAAGCCAAAGATTCAGTGGAGACTCTGGGATGTCAGAGATCCCAGAGACATGGAACTTGTACCAGGGAAAGGTGCAGTCAGCTAGCAAGGCCAGTCCATGAGTAAGGCCATAGGTTTGTGACTGTTCAGACCCTCTGGAGCTCACTTTCTTTTTTTTCTTTTTTTTCTTAAATCCATTTATTGGCACATTTTAGGTTTATAATTCATTTACATTTATCATTGGGTGTTTGTACCTGAACATGATATATCTTGGTTCTTATTTTTTCCCGATCATCTGTGCTCCCTTCACCCCCTCCGTCCTTCTCTGTTTACATAGATTTCATTTCCATTCTTTTTTCTTTTCTCATTGTTTTTCCTTTCTCTCCTTTCCCTTCCCCTTCCCTTCCCTTCACTCTTTCGTCTTTGGACCTTTTTTCCTATTTCAAATTATCGATTATTCATTTTAATCATTTTAACCCTTGTTTACACTATCAGTTTCTCACACTAGAGAAACTATTTGGTATTTACACATGTGTGTCCTATTTATTTCACTTAAAAGTATGGCCTCTATATGCATCCATTTAGCTATAAATGACTCTAGTTTTTCATTCTTTATGGCTGAGTAGTACTCCATTTTATTAAAAAAACCACATCTTCTTTATCTAGTTTCCAGTCAATGGGCAATTGGGCTGCTTCCAAGCTTTAGCTATTACAAATTGTGCCACTATGAATATGGGTGCACATATATCGTTGTGGTATGATTCTTTTAATTCTTTTGGGAAGATGCCCAGCAGGGGAATACCTGGGTCAAATGGGACCTCTAGCCCTAGTTCTTTGAGGTATCTCCATACTTATTTCCACAGTGGTTACACCAGTCTAAACTCCCACCAGCAATGGAGAAGGGTTCCTTTCTCTCCACACCCCCCCCCAGCATTTGTTATTGGTTGATTTCTTGATAGTACCCATTCTTTGTGGGGTGAGG